CCACCTGGAATGAAAAGAGAGAAGATCTGAGGTATGGGTCTACACGGATGCAGTGTTTGTGGCTAAGAGGTTGGCTGGCTGATTAGGGACTTGAATACAGTATGATTTGAAGATCTGTGACAAGGAGGTCTGAAACGGATCACTTGGAATGAACACAGAGTGTGAAGACCATCATGGTTTCCTTAGCAAATAACCATCAGAAGACATAGACTATGGAGAAGGCTGTCGATAATCAGGCGAAATGACCTTTTCTGTAGACACCAGTCATCCTCTTTCCTCTGCGACCCTCGTGCTTTTTTAATGGGTCCATGTAGTAATGGATGTGGTGGCAAGGACTAAAGCTTAACAACATGGAGTTTTCTTCCCAAGAATGACTTGGTTACAGTCACCAGATACCAACTTGCCAACAGCAGATGACAATGTTGAGCCTTCCCTATGGCACACCAGCAACCTGGTGACAGATTCGTACTCTGAATTCCTTTCTCAGTGAAAAGGGGCAGTAGTTTATATTCTGTATGTGGATTTACCTTTCCTGTCCATAATGTTTCTGGCAGTATTCACTCACCGTTAGTGAACTTACAGACTGCTTTATTCATTCCCAAGGCTTCTGGAACCAAGGAGTAAAGATCTGAGTGGCCACTCTCACTATAATATCTCAAAATCTCTGAAGGAATGTTTGCTTCCCATCCTTCAACCGATGAGTTTTCAAGTCCTGTCTAAGGGAGTAATGCTTTCACCACAGGTACAGGAATATTGAATCGGAGGCTGAAACTACCACGTAACCACACCGGGTTCCTCACGCCACTGAATTAATAGATATGGATGTCACCATATTGGCCACAGTGATTGACCCCAGTTACCAGCAGGAAGTTGGTTGCTGCTACAAAAATGAAAGCAAAGAAGATTGTTACTAAAACCAGTGGGATTCACTTTCGCACTTTATTCTCTTTTCCAATTGTCCTGTGTTAATAGAAAACTGTAGAAACCAAATAAAAACTTGCCTTGACCCACCAGTTCAAAAATCTCATCCAGTCAAGTTGCTGATCAAGGTAACAAGTCCATAAACTTGTTGGAGGAATTGGAAGTTATGATGATCAACTTAGGCCTTAGGACCAGCTACTGGAGCAGGGGTTGTAGAAGCTGTGTTCAAAGTAAGTTGGCTTGGAAGTTTCCTTTTTTAAAAAGGAAAACTTTAAAAGTTTTCCTCTTTAAAGAGGAAAACTTCTCTTCCCAGCTTCTTAATATAGGGAGTGCTGGCGTTAAACAACATTTTAGGTTGCATACGAGAGTATGTCTGAATTAAGGGATGTATGTCACTCGTGATAAGGGTAGAGGTTTCATCCAAATAAAGGACAAGAGTGAAAGCTAAGCTTAAGCTAGATGTTCCCCATTTTCCGTCCATATTCATGCTCCATCTTTCTTCACCCTACTCTCTGATCCCAGGTTGATGCCTGTGGACTGTGCCAACCACAGGTTCTTGCTTACTGGCTTCTGGTTGAATTCAGCCAATAGTAGGTATTGGCAGGAGATCAGAGACCAAAATTAGAAAGAGGTCAAGGTACATATTTCCCTGGCTCCTTCCAAGACCCCCTGTGAGTTGACAAAGGTTTATATTCGTTTGCCTGTCCATACCTTTATAAATAGTTCCCTCTTTAAATGCTTCTCATTTACTCTGATTGAGTGGGCCATCTGTTTCTGGCCAAGTTCAAGATTGACACTTGGGTTTAACAGAAGATTTTACACAACTGAAGAGAAAACTAGCAAACTGGAATACAGTTTCAGAGAAAATATCTAGAATTAGGTATGGAGAGACAAGAGAATGCAAAATGCAAAAGATAAGGTAGAACCATAGAGGAGACTATGAGAAAGTCTAACACATATTTACTTGGATAGCCATTATCACCCCCAGAATCTAGATTGTTGTCTCTAAAATTAGTCTTTAATAAAAGCTAACAAGTGTCTTTGGAGAAATGGCTGCCTCCATGTCTGGGACAGGAAATAAAAAAGATAAACCTAGTACATCTTGGAGTGGCAGAAAACAAGGAAGATTTCAATAATTAATGAGACGTTTCAAAAGGACATCAGAGGCAATACAAGGACAATTAAAAGAGCTTTCACTGGTTTAATCTGGGACAATTTAAATATCAAAAGGAATCATTACTGTGTTGATACACATGGAATATATTAAAATCCATACTTCCATAGTAATACTCAAAAAAACACAAAAATCCTTTAAAAATGTATCTGCCAACTGGACACAGTGGCTTGCCTCTGTAATCCCAGCACTTGGAGAGGCCAAGCAGGAGAATTGCTTGAGACCAGGAGTTCAAGACCAGCCTGGGCAATGTAGTAATACCCCTGTCTCCGTTTTGAATTCTTTTTTTTTTTAAACAGAATCTCACTCTGTCCCCGAGGCTGAAGTGCAGTGGTGCAATCATTGCTCACTGCAGCCTTGACCTCCCTGGGCTCAAGTCATCCATCTATCTCAGCCTCTTGAGTAGCTGGGACTATAGGTATGTGCCACCACACCCAGCTAATTTTTGTATTTTTTACAGAGACAAGGTTTCATCATGTTGCCTAGGCTGGTCTAAATCTCCTGGGCTCAAGTGATTCTTCTGCCTCAGCCTCCCAAAGTGCTGGGATTATAGGCATGAGCCATTGTGCCTGGCCTCTACAAAAAAAAAAAAAAAAAAATTAATTAGCCAATCATGGTGGCTCATAATGGTAGCTACTCAGGAGGCTAGGGCAGAAGGATTGCTTGAGCCTAGGAGTTCAAAGCTGCAGTGAACTATGATCTTGCCACTGCACTCCAGCCTGGGTGACAAAGTGAGACTCTGACTCTAAATAAATAAATAAATGTTTTAAAATGTATTAGTCACTGTTAGAGGTAACTACACTACACCGACTTATTATTTTGCAAATGGGTAAAGAAAAAAAACTAAGAATGTATGCTACCTTTCCAGTTGGAATTGTATTTTAGTGTAAACTAAATCCAGGTGATGAGAGAAAGCCCTTCTCTACAAAATAAAATAAGCTGATAAATGTAAATGGAATGACAGAATTATAAAAATAACCATTGTGCAACCTCTAATGAAATCATTTAGTCAAGGATCGATCACCAATGAATAGTAAAACCATTAGGTGAAAAGTTGATGAGGAACTAGATAGTCTCACAGAGCCAAAATATCATCCAAGGATTATATGCTGGTCACATTAGAAAAACACACCTTTCTATACAGAGATCTGGCTGTCCTTATCTTAAACCAGTGATCAATTTTAACATCAATAATGGAACAGTCAGACATCATGTACTTCCTGAAATTATGCAATGAAAGACATTTTGCTTTTAAAATTCTTTAATTTGATCCAGTCAAGACTTCATATATAACTTCTCGTTTATAGGAAATACAGGTGATATACAGGTTATACACTGGAGAAATACAGAGAAATACAACATGAAGGAACAATCAGATAAACCCAGAAGGGCTCTAAAGAAAAATTGACCTGGTCTCTCAACATGACAATGGCAAAATGGGTGACAGGAGACAGGAGAAGGTGTCTATGCCAATTTACAGAGAATTAAGAAACATAACAAAGTCAGTGGTTGTCCTTAACTGACTGCTATTTTAAAGAAAACACCTGAAAAGAAAAGGCATTTTGGGAGAAATAACCTGGGACTTGAATATGAACTGAGCATTAAATGATATTAGGGAATTATTATAAATTTTGTTAGGTGTCATAATGGCACTTAGGTTACGGAGGAAAACATCCTTATTTCTTGGAGATGTATAATGAAACATTTAGAAGGGAAATGTCATGATGTCTATTATTCATGTTTAAATACTAAAAAGAAGCCAATGTGGTAAAACATCGGTAACAATTAAGTATAGATGATGAGTATGTAAGTATTCATTATGCACTTCTGTCATTTTTTGATTTTATTTTACTGGAAAGCAAGAGAGTAAGGAGATCAAATTTGAACTTAAGAAGCTCACTCCCCCACTTACTGGGCGACAAGAGTGGAAGCAAAAGACCAGTTAGCTGATTGTTAGTGATCGTGATGAAGAAGCACAGCGTTCTAGTTCAGGTAGTGAGGACGGGCAGAAGTGGACTGATGGAAGATGTATTTTGCAGGCAGAAACCGTAATATGATTGATAGGCTCAAGGTGGTCCAGGAAGAAAGGAGAGTCAAAGCTAACAATGAGGTCAGGCATGGTGGTTCATGCCTGTAATCCCCTCACTTTGGAAGCCTGAGGCAGGTGGATCACCTGAGGTCAGGAGTTCAAGACCAGCCTGGTCATCATGGTGAAAGCCTGTCTCTACTAAAAATGCAAAAATTAGCTGGGCAAGGTGCCGTATGCCTGTAATCCCAGCTACTCGGGAGGCTGAGGCAGAAGAATGGCTTGAACCCAGGAGGCAGAGGTTGTAGTCAGCCAAGGTCATGCCACTGCACTCCACCCTGGGCGACAGAGCAAGACTCCATCTCAAGTAAATAAATAAATAAATGCTAATGACAAAAGCTAATATGTATAGAGCATGTAGTATGCACCAGTCCAGACATATAACTAACAAAATCTTCACAATCACCCTGAGAGGCAGGTACTATTAGCACGGTCTGAGGCAGGCACCTCCACTTTGCAGATCAGGAAACTTGGATGCAGACAAGTTAAACAACCTGCCCAAGACTAACATACCCTTAGTAGGTGCCCTGCTAGACCTGGAATCCAGGCACAAACGTCTATCCATTTCTTCTTAAGGAAGACACCAGTACCATCAATGACAATGAGGAAGGGTACTTATACTACCCACGTTCTGCTTCTCCTCTTCGGGTTTATCATTCTGGACTCACCTCTCTTTCCTGGCCCCCACCCAACTCGACCATTTTCGCCCACATAGAGGTAGTGGTCCTAGAAGAGGGCTACAGGTCAAAAAGGGGTGGGGCCGAGTGGGAATTCTAGCGAGGCGCCTAGTATTTGACGGAGGAGGGATGGGCTGGGTAGGTCCCCCGCTCCGACAAGGCTCTTACGCCATATGTGACGCAAATTAGCTTACGAGCCGGGGGTGGAGGTGTCGTCAGCACCCGCCTGCGTTTGGCAGCGTTGCAGCGAGAGGGGCATGTAGACCCCGCCTCGTAGCGGGGTGGGAAGCAGCAGGCCCCGCCTCGGCCCCTCCTTCAGGCTCCCGCCAGCGTCGCTGCGGCTCCGGCCCGGGAGGGAGCGCCCGGAGCTCTGAAGGATGCGGCGCCCGCGGCGGCCTGGGGGTCTCGGGGGATCCGGTGGTCTTCGGCTGCTCCTCTGCCTCCTGCTCCTGAGCAGCCGCCCGGGGGGCTGCAGCGCCATTAGTGCCCACGGTCAGGAGGAAACTTGGGCTGGCCGGTGGGGGGGGGGGGTGGGATGGGCAGCTTGGGGCCAGGAGCGAAACTGGGTGGTGGTGGGGGTGAAGTGTCAGGAGGCTTAGGGAGAATATGGGTTGGGGGGGTCAGGCGACAGAGGAGGGTGAGAGGGCGTCTGGGAGGAAAGGGGCGTAGGCCTGGAGGTGGGGCTGGGAATACGGGGGCGGTACCTAAGAGAATTGGGCTCCGGGGAAGACTGCAGGTTCGGGAGGAGGACACGGAGTGCTTGTGGGCAGAGGGATTTACAGACCGGCTGCGAGACCACAGGAGAAGCCAGTTGCGCGAGGCGCCAGGGGGCTGGTGACAGGCGCTGAACGGAAGGGGGCGGGGACGTGTCGGAGAGGTTAAGGGAACGGCGATCCCTGGGCAGTGGAAGCCTGGGCCGCAGGCATAAGGTCCCAGATGGGCCGAGAGAGAGGCGAGGGTTTCTCCGTAAGCCTAGAGAGGCTGATTGCAGTGATCTGATCTCCCGTAAGAGGGAACAGCACGGGGAGGGGGCAGAAGAGGATAAAGAGAGGAGGGTCCTCTCCTGTCCCCCTCCCCACAGCCGGGCCTGGTGCTGACTCACATCTGTGCGGACAGAGACAGTCAGCGCTGACTCACGGGAGGAGGGTGGGGGTAGGAGGGTGGCGCGTGGGGGAAGGGGCGCAGCCTCGCCGCCTGGCGCCCTCTTTCCCCAGCCGGGCTTGGAGGCCCGAGAGGCAGAGTACTTCCTGTGACGCTGTGGGTTGACAGAATAGAACGGAGGGCTCAAGTCTTGTGGAGAGTTGTCGTTCTGTGACCCCTTCCTCTCTGGTAACCGCCTCCCAGGCGAGCCCCGGGCGGCGCCAGACTCAGAGCTTCAGCACCGCGGACAGCGCCAGCGGCCCGGGACAGCGCCGGGAGAGAGACACCCCCCCACATCCGCTTTCCCCCGACCGGGCGAAGTGTGCTAGGGTTTCCACCTCTTCTGGGTTCCAGGCTATTACAGGATGCTTTTGGATATTTGGGGACGAAATTCCCCTTTCTCTCAAAATATGGCCAAAATCTCTCCTACAGTAATTCTATGAGAACAGACAAATATGTTATTCTCCACCACTTTTCTTCCTGTACCTGGAAGATTTCTTCCCCATCACTCAGTTAAGTAAACAGAGGCTTTTAAGGATCCAGACTCACAAATTCTTCAAATCCAAAACTAGATCCCATGCTTCCTTTTAAGAATTTTAGGCCTGATTTCTACTCTCCTCCCAGCTTAAGGCCTTCTTTAGAATGAAAGAATAAACTGCATCTGCTTCCCCCCTTTCCCAGCCTGTCCACCCATCTGCCCATTCTCTGTGTGTGGGTGTCTGAGCCTCTGCTCACCTGTTCCTCTACAGGCTGTCTATTTGACCGCAGGCTCTGCTCTCACCTCGAAGTCTGTATTCAGGGTGAGTGAAGCCCAAGCGTAGAACTCACAAGGTGGGGGGAAGATGGGCAATAAAAAACAAGAAAGGGAGAGAAGGCCCAGAAAGGAAGAGGGCTACTGGGCTTGAGAAGAAGGAGGACTTGCCTGGAGGAGGAGAGGTAGGGGAGGAGGTGAAGAGAGTACTGTTCATTTGCAACCTGGACTTCGGAAGGCCTCTTGTTCAAGCCTCCTGCTGACACCACTTTTGTGCCCTTAGATGGCTTGTTTGGACAGTGCCAGGTGGGAGTGGGGCAGGCCCGGCCCCTTTTGCAAGTCACCTCCCCAGTTCTCCAACGCTTACAAAGTGTGCTCCGACAACTCATGTCCCAAGGTGAGGTCTGGGTGCATTGGAGGAGAGAGATTGGAACTTGGTTAGTTATGGGTGGGGAAGAGCATTTCTATTCAAGGAACATTTTTATCACACTCACTGCTGGAGCCTCATCTTCCCAGATCTTGCTGGAGTGAGAAGTGAAACCCTAGAGATGAGCTATTCACATTTGGACTCTCTGGAGAAACCCAGAGGAGGCTTCTAGAAGAAGCCACTGGAAAAAGCCAGCTTCCTTAGGACCAGTTCCTGTCCCTGACACTCTCTGAGTGCTACAGAGCCAAGAACACTGTATTCCTCAGCCAGGATAATATTCCACTCATCCAATTCCTCATTCAACAAGTATTTATTGAATACTAACTATGCAGCAGGCATAATTTTAAGTATTTGGCGTGTATCAGGGAATAAAACAAAGATCTCTGCTTACTGGAGTTTATATTTGGGGGTAAGAGGAGGAAACACTATAGAAGTTAGAAAATATAGTGTCTTAGAAGATGATAAATGACATGGAATATTACAGCAAGATAAAGGGATCAAAATGGTGAGGTAGAAAGCTACAGTGTTAAATCAGGTGGTCAGGTGGAACTTATTGAGACCGAAATCTGAACAGATTTTTTAAGGAGGTGGGGGAGTTTGTCAGGTTATCTAGGGGAAGAGTATTTCAGGCAGACCAAACATCTAGGACAAAAGCACAAGTCTGAAGAATACCATAGAGGCCAGGAGACTGAAGAGGATTATGGAGAAGAGCAGAAAGTGCAGTCAGGTAGGTGAAGGGAAGGGATGCAGATTACTTTAGGGCCTCACAGGGGAATGTATGGACATTGGCTTTACTCTGAGTAAAGAAGGAAACCATTACAAGATTTTGAGCATAGGTGCACGTGATCTGACTTACCCTTTACAAGCATCACTTTTGCTGCTGTAGTGAGAATAGAATATATGGAGTCAAGAATTGATGAGGGAGGCCATTCAAAACCACCACAATAGGTTTCTCTGTCTATGGAGTAGCCATTCTTCTGTTTCTTCACTTCTCTAATAAACTTGCTTTCACTTTACTAAAACAAACAACCAAAAACTACCACAATATCTCAGATAAGAGATGAATATGGATTGGGCCAGGGTGATTGCAGGGAAGGAATGAAAAATGACAGAATTCTGCATTTATTTTTAAGGTAGCCAACATTATTTCATGAAATATTAGATATGGTAATAAAGAGAGCAGTCAAAGGTGTTTTTGTTGGATTTTGCTGTTGTTGTTGTTTGAGATGGAGTCTCACTGTGTTGCCCAGGCTGGAGCACAGTGATGCGATCTCATCTTCCTCCCGGGTTCAAGTAATTCTCCTGCCTCAGCCTCCCAAGTAGCTGACATTACAGGCATATGCCACCACTCCTGGCTAATTTTTGTATTTTTAGTAGAGACAGGGTTTCACCATGTTGTCCAGGCTGGTCTTGAGCTCCTGACCTCAAGTGATCCATCCACCTCGGCCTCCCAAAGTGCTGGGATTACAGGCATGAGCCACCATGCTTAGCCAGGAGTCAAAGGTTTTATTTACTGAATAACTGAATCAGGGGAGATGTCACAATTATAATGTGGAAACTTGCAAATGGATCAACTTGGTAGGGGTGTTCGGCTTTGAATACGTTGTTTAAGATGTCTAATCAAGTGAAGTGGCAAGTTGAATATATAAGACTGAATTCTGAGAGAGGTCTCAAGTGGAGCTACAAATCTGAAATTCTTTGGCATATAAATGTTAATTAAACCCACGAGGTAGATGAGATAACTAAAGAATTGAGTGTCTATGAAGAAGAAGACCAAGGATCAAGTCCTAGATAATTCTATTAAGAGGACCAGGAAAAAGAGGGGAACCATCAATCTCTTCTCAGGGAGACTGAGAAGGGGAAGCCAGTGGAGTAGAATTAAAAACAACAGTGTTCAGTGTCCTAGAAGCCAAAAGAAAGTGTATCAAGGAGGAGGAGAAGTGACCAAGTCTCAAATGATGATTACGGGAAAAGTAAAATTAGATATGAGAACTGACCACCAGATTTGGACGTGCAGAAGTCACTGGTGATTTTAATGAGAGCAGCTTTGGTAGAACAGTTAGGAATAAAATCCTGAATAGAGTGGATTAAGAGGGAAGAGAAAGAAAGAAATTGGATACACCCAGTAAAGGGAAATTTTTTCTAGAAGTCTTGTTGCAAAGAAATGGAGTGATTGCTAGAGAGGAATGCAGGATCAAGCAGTATTTTTCTTAAGATGGAAGAAAGTGCATATGACATGCATGGGAATGATGTGAATAATTCAGCAGAGAACAAAGAAAATTATGTAGGAAAGAGGAGAGAATTGCGAGGAGAATATTCCTGAGTAGGTGAGAGTGGATGAAATCTAGTGCTCAAACAGAGGAACCGGCTTTAAATAGGAACACAAACAGCTCATCTAATGTTAAGAAGAAAGGAGGCAGATGTGGATGTTGGTAGATACCAGAATACAAGTTAAGAGCAGCATAGATTATAAATCCAGAAACAGAGAAGAACGGATGAGGGTGGAAAGTGGGAAATTATTCCTTTAGAACAAGTGACTAACCTTTCCTGAGAGCAGAGTTTTTTGGGGATAAGAGTCAAATAGGAGAGCTGTCTCTGAATAAGATGATGATGATACTGACAATGATGATGATGATGACAGTGAGGATGATTATACATGTTTAAAACATGTAGATTGTGCTTTAGAGTTTTCTAAGCACTTTGATTTCCCTGATCACACTTGATCTTCACAACAGCTCCCTGAAATACGTATTGTCTCCGCTTTATAAACAGAGAAAGTTGAGGTTCAGGGTCAACATAAAGAACACTAACAATAGTAATAATAATTGTAGTAATGGCATTTGTTAAAAGTTCACGGCATTACAGGCACTATTCTAACCATTTCATGTGTATATATGTTATTTTAATTATAACAATCCTAGGAGATATAAATCACCATTTTATAGATGAGGAAATTGAAGCTTGGAGAGGTTCAGCAATTACCCAAAGTTACACAATTCATCAGTAGCAGAGGCAGGATTCAAACTCAGGCAGTCCGGCTCCAATAGCTGTACCTGAGGGTGGGAGGAGGACAGCTCAGATCACTCACTAGGTTTGTCTCTCTACTCTGACAAACCCCAAGAGCTGCGGGGCAGAGGGTACATTTCTGATCCCCAGTGGGCCCCATTACTGGACCCTCAGACTCCCAAACTAACTTACCCTATCCTTTTTCCTGACAGGATTGTCCTGGCATGATGACCTCACCCAGTATGTGATCTCCCAGGAGATGGAACGTATCCCCAGGCTTCGACCCCCAGAGCCCCGTCCAAGGGACAGGTAGGCAACCTTTCTTGACAACTCTAGCAATGGTGAGGCTGGTGAACCTCTGGTCATCCTAACAGATGGAGGGAAGGGGAAGGAAGTGGGCCCCAAGGCCAGCAGGCTGGGGCACAGGCAAACAGATGCGGGAATGCTCACTCTCTGACATGCTCCCACTGCCAACAGGAGCTTAGCTCATCTCTAGGGATCCAAAAAAAGGGGGGAATGTTTTCAATGTTTTGAAAAACCTTGACATTGGATACTTTAAAAAAAAAAAGCATCAACGTAGTCATCAATGGAGAAATTAGAATTGTGTTGGACTAAAGTTATTCAATATTCAGTTTCATTGTTATATGAATTTCTATATGGCAGGAGGCACCATCATCTTTTTGTGGTTAGGGCCTCTAAAGGCATCATTCAGTCTCTGCAAAGCGGAGGAAAAATAAATGAGGTTTGTGGAGCTCAGATGATGATACCAGGATGAAGATGGCATAGTGGTGGGGGGTGGAGGAGCAATCCTGAATAGTTGGACATACACTTGGAGAGCCAGGTGTGGGGACATGACACACAGGGACAACGGGGACAGCTGCAGCCACAGTTCATCTAGAGAAGTTCCTGGCTGCCTTCCCCTGCTCCTGTGTGCCCCTTCTCCATCCCCAGCCTCATGATTCACCAGCCTTTGCAGCTGTTTCAGAGACCCAGCCATGCTCACCAGGGAGGCAGATACCTCTGCCCTCAGCTTGGCCCTCTGGTCCCTCCCCATGCCCACCCAACCCATCTCTCTTCCCCTGAGGTCACTCAATTTCTTAAGAGGTCAGGCCTGCTCTTAACCACTGAGGCTGCCTGGCCCCATCTAGTTCTGCCTTGCAGGCTCTTAGGCTCTCTATGCCCTTCCCCCTGCTCCAACACACACACTTTGCTTTCCCCTCCAGGTCTGGCTTGGCACCCAGGAGACCTGGTCCTGCTGGAGAGCTGCTTTTACAGGACATCCCCACTGGCTCCGCCCCTGCTGCTCAGCATCGGCTTCCACAACCACCAGTGGGCAGAGGTGGAGCTGGGGCCAGCTCCTCTCTGTCCCCTCTGCAGGCTGAGCTGCTGCCCCCTCTCTTGGAGCATCTGCTGCTGCCCCCACAGCCTCCCCACCCTGCCCTGAGTTATGAACCTGCTTTGCTGCAACCCTACCTGTTCCACCAGGTAAGCCCTTAACTCTGGCACCGCCTAACTGCAGTCCCACAGTCCCTCAGCCCGGACTTCTGCTCTTACCCAGATCTCTGGTTTTCCACAGTTTGGCTCCCGTGATGGTTCCCGGGTCTCAGAAGGCTCCCCGGGGATGGTCAGTGTCAGCCCCCTGCCCAAGGCTGAAGCCCCTGCCCTTTTCAGCAGAACTGCCTCCAAAGGCATATATGGGGACTCCCCTGGCCACTCCTATGGGGACCTTCCAGGGCCTTCACCTGCCCAGCTTTTTCAGGACTCCGGGCTGCTCTATCTGGCCCAGGAGTTGCCAACACCCAGCAGGGCCAGGATGCCAAGGCTGCCAGAGCAAGGGGGCAGCAGCCGGGCTGAGGACTCCCCAGGGGGCTATGAGGAGGAAGGACTAGGGGGCCGCAGAGAGAAGCCTGCTTCCCCAGCAGTGCAGCCAGGTAACGAAGTCCTCAGCATCCACCTCCCTGTGGGGGCTGTTTGGGGGAACCATGGTCGGGCCCCTCCCTGACAATCCATGCATTTGCTAACTTGTCTTTAAAGTCATTCATCCATTTAAGGAATGTCTAATGATAAGCTGTTCCATGCCAAGCACTAAGGAAGTGGTGGGGACACTGTGGGGAATGGGAACACTGTGGAGAGTCACAATGTCCTGAAGTTTGGTCTGGGCCCCCGGAAGCCCTTTCCCCCAACATGTGGACAAGGGCTGGGAAGGAGAGGGCACCCTTTAGTGTCCTGGTGTTTGGGAAGAGTACTTAATGTGTTAGTCCCCTCCCACCCTGAGTCACCCATCTGCATCCCACAAGTTCACCCCACAACCAACCCTAAGCTCTGTGTCTGGCTCCCAGCAGACACGGCTCTGCAGAGGCTGGCCGCTGTGCTGGCGGGCTACGGGGTAGAGCTGCGTCAGCTGACCCGTCAGCTGACCCCTGAGCAGCTCTCCACCCTCCTGACCCTGCTGCAGCTACTGCCCAATGGTGCAGGAAGAAATCCAGGTGAGTGTCCAGGCGGAGGGAGGCACCAGCATCTCCCAGCTCCGTGGATGCCTCTTGCCCCACCTCAAGACCACATGGAGTAGCCTAGAAGGGAAGAGTCAGGCTTAGGGAGAGAGAGTTCCTTTGAGACACAGGGTCATTACCAGTAAGGCAGGAGCAAGGGGGTAGGGTGGTGAGCTGAGGAGTTAGATCAGGAAAAGACTAGAGGGTGAAAGCAATGGAAAAAGCAGCCAACAGAGGGTGTGAGCAGGGAAAAGGAGGCATCAGGAAAGGTGGGTCAGTGACAATGAGGGTGTACAAATGGGCTTAGCCAATGCTAAGAAGAAGGCAGTAATTGATAGGTAGAGATGAGCACAGAATAGCTTTGAGAGAGATGGTCAATGACAGAGGAAGTTGGGAGGAGGAAGCAAAGAGGAATGAGGCCAGGCTTAGGGTAAGACTAGTCACAGGGTCTTGGTCACTGACTGAGGAGGAAGACAACAGCAAATGTACCAGGCTCGGGGGCTCTGGCCCTGTCTCCCACTTGTGACGTGTGGACCTTGGCCACGGCCATTTTTCCAGACTCTCGTTTTTCCTGTCTCACAGGAGGGGTTGTAAATGTTGGAGCTGATATCAAGAAAGTGAGTCCCCAGCACCTCCTTGACTCCTCATCACCCCATGGCAGCACACCCCCTTGCCAAACCTAGATCTCAAATTCAGGACCCAGAATCTGTATCCTCCCACCCCTCATTTTGGGGAAAAGCAAGGCCCAGAGACTGCAAGTTATTACCTAAGATCTCGCATCAAGTTGATGGCAGAATCGGGGCTAGGAAACCGAATTCTGAATTCATTGCTCTTTTCACTCCAATCATTTCACACCATGCTCTGAGGATTCCTAGGGAAGGAGGGAAGTTTCGAGCAGGAAGCCCTTCCTGAGCTTCCGTAGCTGAAGGAGCTCTGCTTCTTTCTGTTTCATGTGTTGGAGTTCTAAGACTTTGCGGCTAAACAAAAGTTTAGAAACCATTGCCTGCCTGTTCATCTTCTACCCCCGCTTCTCTGGCTGCAGAGGTTTCCCTCTCCAGCCCCATTCTGTGGATTAGTACAGACCATTTTCAGTCATGCAATTCTTTATTCATTCATGCGTACACTTGTGTCACATGCTCTGGTGTCCTCTCTGTACCCAGCACTGCAGTGGTCCCTGGGGGTAGAAAGCTAAAAGCAGGTCCTGAGCTCCACTGTGGAAAGCTCAGAGTCCAGGGCACCCCTTCCCGCAGCACTGTCCAGATGCACACCTCCACCCTCTCTTCTGAACAGACAATGGAGGGGCCAGTGGAGGGCAGAGACACAGCAGAGCCTCCACCCCCCACACCCTCCATGCCTGGATACCCCACTGCCAGTTCCACCTCCAGTGAAGTCCAGCAGGTGCCAAGCCCTGTCTCCTCTGAGCCTCCTGAAGCTGCCAGACCCCCCGCTACACCTGTCCTGCTAGAGAAGAAAAGTCCACTGGGCCAGAGCCAGCCCACAGCAGCAGGACAGCCCTCAGCCCGGCCAGCAGCAGAGGAATATGGCTACATTGTCACTGACCAGAAGTAAGGGCGGCATCCTGGGAAGCCTTCTGGCCAGCTGGGAGTTGGGCTGGCCTGCTTGGCCAGAAGCAGAGGGCAGAAATCCAGATGTGTAGGGACAGGGAAGTGGAAGGCTGCTCTGCGCCCGTGGAGTGACCTGTTTTAAGAAAGTGATTGGGTCAGGTCACACCTGTAATCCCAGCACTTTGGGAGGCTGATGTGGGTAGATCACCAGAGGTCAGGAGTTCGAGACCAGCCTGGCTAACATGGTGAAACCCTGTCTCTACTTAAAATTTAAAAATTAGCGAAATGTGGTGGCAGGAACCTGTAATCCCAGCACTTTGGGAGGCTGAGGTGGGTAGATCACCTGAGGTCAGGAGTTCGAGACCAGCCTGGCTAACATGGTGAAACCCTGTCTCTACTTAAAATTTAAAAATTAGCCAAATGTGGTAGCAGGTACCTGTAATCCCAGCTACTCAGGAGGCTGAGGCAAGAGAATTACTTGAACTCGGGAGGCAAAGGTTTCAGTGAGCTGAGATCGTGCCATTATACTCCAGCCTGGGTGACAAGTGTGAAATTCTGTCTCAAAAACAAACAAAACATGACTGGGCGCAGTGGCTCACACCTGTAATCCCAGCACTTTGGGAGGCCAAGGTAGGCAGATCACCTGAGATCGGGAGTTTGAGACCAGCTGGCCAACAAGGTGAAACCCCATCGCTACTAAAAATACAAAAATCAGCTGGGTGTGATGGCATGCACCTGTAATCCCAGCTACTAAAGAGGCTGAGGCAGGAGAATTGGCTTGAACTGGGGAGGCAGAGGTTGCGGTAAGCTGAGATGGTGCCACTGCACTCCAGCCTGTGCAACAAGAACCAGACTATGTCTCAAAACAACAACAACAAAGAAAGTGACTGAGAGGGTTGCCCCACTTTCCTTCCTCTGCCTTCTCCCATCTCCAGGCCCCTGAGCCTGGCTGCAGGAGTGAAGCTGCTGGAGATCCTGGCTGAGCATGTGCACATGTCCTCAGGCAGCTTCATCAACATCAGGTGAGGCTGGCATCTTGCTGGGGCAGTGGCCAAGATCTAGAAGGCAGCTTGAGCCAGGAGGTGGCTGGAGGGGCCTGGGGGAGGAAGGGCAGACAAGGTCTGAGCTAAGGGATGCTCCCAGCTGTATTGAAGGTACAGCCACACCCAGCCCATTACTGGCCCCACCCAGCATCTTCCTTGCCGCAGATACCCCTGTAGCGCATCCCTGATCTGCGACGGCCCCATCCTTTAATCGGGAGAGGGCCAGATCTGGCCTCTTTTGGAGTCTGCGGTCTAGGGTGGAGAAGGCAGTAACATAGCTCCTATCTGGCAGTGTGGTGGGACCGGCCCTGACCTTCCGCATCCGGCATAATGAGCAAAACCTGTCTTTGGCTGATGTGACCCAACAAGCAGGTAAATACCTCGACCTCGACTCCAGGCTTGGCCCCAACCCCATTCCTAAGAGGATATATCCAGGCCTGTGGCTGATTCCCCCTTGAATGTTCCCGGCCCACATGGGCCCTGCCTGCCGCTTGGCAGAGCAAGACAGAGGGTGGAGACCACAGGGGGCTGGAGCGAACCTGACCTGCGTCCTCCCTGCAGGGCTGGTGAAGTCTGAACTGGAAGCACAGACAGGGCTCCAAATCTTGCAGACAGGAGTGGGACAGGTATGCGCTAACTGGAGAATCAGTCAAGGCCCCCAGAGGGCTGATGTTGTCCACAAGAGCTGGAGGTGAACTAGAGGGGAGAACTGGAGCTGAAACCTCCTGGGCCCGGCTGGCTGGGGGCGGCCTTCGCCCAAGCAGTCCCTCCCCCTGGAGTTCTCTTTCTGACCAGCAGATGGCGCAGGTGTCCCCTCCCTGCAAGAAAAGCCTGAGAACTAGCAGAGGCACCCTTAGCCTGCTGGAGGGAAATCTCTAAATTCCAAAGGAAAACCGTGCACAGAAAGCACATTATACTCAAAATAAGTTTTGTTTGTTTGTTTGAGACAGAGTTTCACTCTACTCTCCCAGGCTGGAGTGCAGTGGCGCAATCTCGGCTCACTGCAACCTCTGCCTACCAGGTTCAAGTGATTCTCCTGCCTCAGCCTCTCAAGTAGCTGGGATTACAGGCACACGCCACCACACCTGGCTAAATTTTTTTGTATTTTTAGTAGAGATGGGGTTTGACGGGGTTTCACCACGTTGGCCAGCCTGGTCTCGAACTCCTGACCTCAGGTGATGTGCCTGCCTTGGCCTCCCAAAGTGCTGAGATTACAGATGTGAGCCACCACGCCTGGCCTACACTCAAAATATCCTTGTCTTCTGCATGCAACACTGGTGCCTCACATCCTACAATTCAATTCCTAGGGTTCTCTGTCCACTTCTGTCTTCGTTTTAAAATGCAAACACTCCTCGGGCTCTGCAGTGTGGTTGAGTTGACCTGATGGGGATTGAGAAACGGGATCTGAGCCCTTCCGGCTGTCCCACCATCCCCCTATGCTCCCAGCTTTCCCCCAGAAGACGTCCTAACAGGGAGTGTGGCATGGGATGGGGCTGAGGAGCAGCTCCGAAATCTCCCCATGCCACTGCCTCCCTTGATTCTAGCCTTGTTCCCACAGAGGGAGGAGGCAGCCGCAGTCCTTCCCCGGACCGCGCACGGCACCTCTCCCATGCACTCAGTGCTGCTCACTCTGGTGGCCCTGGCAGGCGTGGCCGGGCTGCTGGTGGCTCTGGCTGTGGCTCTGTGTGTGCGGCAGCATGCGCGGCAGCGGGACAAGGAGCGCCTGGCAGCCCTGGGGCCTGAGGGGGCCCATGGTGACACTACCTTTGAGTACCAGGTGTGCAGCCCCAGAAGCTGGTTGAAGAGAGGAAATGCAAGGAGCTTGGGAGTCTGGGTCTTGCATGGAGGGAGGGTAGGAATTGAATGGAGAGTGAGCTCCCATCCCTGGGAAGGTCCAGTGGAGGCTGGAGAAGCCCCAGTGGGAGGGAGTATGGTGGGGGCCTTTGTGAATGGATGGGAACTGGAGCATATGATGCCTAAGGTTCTTCTTGGTGTGGTGCTTCTGGGGTTCTGGGATTCCACTCTATCATGTCTGAGGTTGACATAAGCCTCGCCCAAGTAGACCAACCCTGAAAAGGACCAGGGCCAGGCAGAAGACCCTACCCCAGAGGAGCTGAGTTCACTGAAACTCAGTCCTCCTAGGACAAGCCTAGGAGCCCAGCGTTGAACCCAGGGCCCTGTTGAAAGTTTCAAGGGACTCTTGGACCTCACCTGGTTCTTCCTCCACAGGACCTGTGCCGCCAGCACATGGCCACAAAGTCCCTGTTCACCAGGGCAGAGGGTCCACCAGAGCCTTCACGGGTGAGCAGCGTGTCCTCCCAGTTCAGCGACGTGGCCCAGGCCAGCCCCAGCTCCCACAGCAGCACCCCGTCCTGGTGCGAGGAGCCGGCCCAGGCCAACATGGACATCTCCACGGGACACATGATTCTGGTCAGGACACGGCCGGGGCCCCGAAGTGGGTGAGGGAATGGGATGGCAGGAGAGACCAGGCTGGCTGTATGGGCCAGAGCCAGACAAAGGCACCCCCACAGGCGTACATGGAAGACCACCTGCGGAATCGGGACCGCCTGGCCAAGGAATGGCAGGCCCTCTGTGCCTACCAAGCAGAGCCAAACACCTGTGCCACTGCGCAGGGGGAGGGTAACGTCAAAAAGAACCGGCATCCTGACTTCCTGCCCTGTGAGTGAACCCTGCTGGCCAGCCCAGCCCAGCCCTCTCTCCGATGTGAGGTCTGGAGGGCTTAGGGGAAGGGGTTGGACTTCTGGCTCAGGCTGAGTGGCAGAGGTCCCGGGAAGCCAATGACCAGAGGGTCATCTGGGGTGGGATGTGGGTCTGTGCAGATGACCATGCCCGCATAAAACTGAAGGTGGAAAGCAGCCCTTCTCGGAGTGATTACATCAACGCCAGCCCCATTGTGAGTGGCCCTGACTCCAGCCCCCACCTCTGCCCCATCATTATCCTGGCCCTATGCACTCCATTCCCCTGTGGTCACCTCCCACCCCACCCACCCCCTGGAATGGTGGGGCCTGATATCCTAGCAAGGAAAGGGGGAATGGCCAGCCTTCTCAGACCCTGACCCACTTGCTTTGAAAATTCATAGTGAATTTTCCCACACTGGCTCATGGTGTATCTTCCCTGCCCCCAGATTGAGCATGACCCTCGGATGCCAGCCTACATAGCCACGCAGGGCCCGCTGTCCCATACCATCGCAGACTTCTGGCAGGTGGGCTCTTAAAGGGAGGGCTTTTCTGGGGTCCTTGTGGCCAGCCAGGTCCCAGGGAGGTTAGAGTGGAGCTCACCTGGGTCTCTGTCCTAGATGGTGTGGGAAAGCGGCTGCACTGTCATCGTCATGTTGACCCCGCTGGTGGAGGATGGTGTCAAGCAGTGTGACCGCTACTGGCCGGATGAGGGTTCTTCCCTCTACCATGTATATGAGGTCAGCAGGGCCCCACAGCAAGGGGACAGTGAGTGTGGGGATAGTAGATGATGACTACTCAATAGTCTTTTTAAAAAGCCTTTCATCGGCTGGGTGTGGTGGCTCACGCCTGTAATCCCAGCACTTTGGGAGACCAAGATGGGCATATCACACAGTCAGGAGTTCAAGACCATCCTGGCCAACATAGTGTAACCCATCTCTACTTAAAATACAAAAAATCAGCCGGGTGTGATGGCAGACACCT